AAGCCCGATATATATGTCTAAATCCGGAATAGTTTTTCTGACCGTCGGAGTATTTATTTCCACGTCACACGACTCGATGCGCATTTCATGCACATTAAATCGAGCCTTGTAACACGCACACACGCGCGCGCGCGCGCAACAGTCACCTTTACAACAGTCTCTCAGATATAAACAGTTATAATAACGTGAAAAATTATTTTGCAACACGACGTAACAATTTTCAGCGACGCCTCGGAGTCGTCGCTCGAGTGCAAACGGTCGAAAAACACGCTCGCCGTTTCACGTCGTTTTAACCTCGACCATGTGTTTTCCTCTTCTAAGAACGCGTCCGGAATTTTTGAACGTCGTCGATGGCTTCCGTCGCGTCGGATCGAACCGATTCGACGCTGTACAACGGACCGATTCTGGTCGAAGAACTCTATCAGTCATATCGTGTTTCGATATAATAATATATATATTATTATATATATTATTATAATAATATTATAATATATAATATAATATATATTATATATATTACCGAGTTCGACGAGCGCGAGTTCACTTCCAAGACAAAAAAAAGCAACGTTCGATGCGTCTTCCGCTGACGATTAAATCGAAACTAATTCGCCGTTCGCTGCGGTGAACTTTTCCGTCACAAGAAAGTGATTCGGACGGAGTCCGCCGGTTTCAGTGATTTACCGAGGAAGTCGACGATCGTCCATAAAATCTTCCGCCGCCAGAGCCATCGAAGTAAACGACGGAAACAGTGAGAGGAAGGAAGAAAGAGAGAGAGAGAGAGAGAGAGAGAGAGAGAGAGTGATAAAGAAAATGAAAGAAAGACCGAAACGTCAAACAACGATACAAGACGCTCCGCTAATGGGATATGATGCAACTTACGATATTTAGTTGGCCTTAAACGTAAACAGTTAAAGTGTAAAAGGTATGACTTAAGTACAACCAGAAAAAGTTGGTCATTATTATGGCATTCGTATCCTTAACTTACGCTCCCTAGTAGATTAAACTAACGGCGCGCGTTTCGAACGCGATGCGTGTCGTCGCTCTTCCAGATATAGCCGGACGGACGATGCACCGGTCGCGGCGCCACGAGATCGACGCTGTTTCCCGCTTCCGTCGCTTCCCAGCGTTCTGCTCCCTCGCGCCCTCTCTCACTCCTCCGCCGGCAAATGTCTACCGAAGCGCTCTACGCGGTCGCGCGCGATCGATGACGTCACCCGCTCCGTCGTTACCGCGAGCAGCTCGAATCTGTTCTTCTCGCCGATCCGCAGCGATCCACCGTTATCGTTCGCACCGTAACTCTCCGGCGCGACCTGGATTTTAATAACATCGATGCTCCGTCGCCGCCGCCACCGCCGCGATTCGATGCTCTCGAGAAACTCGTTGGCCCGCGGCCCGTGTCGCGAAATCATTCGAAGTGCGCCGCGCGCGCAAACGGATTACGCGGATGCTCCCGTGAACGTTCGTCGCGCGCCCTTTCAAGATGGCGGAAAGAACGCCGCTGTCGCCGCCACCTTGAACAAGGCGGATCCCGGTCGCTGATTCTACGGAACTATATACCGTGAACAAGCTCCGACGAACGTTCGAGGTGAATATATCATCTTTGATCGATTCTTCGGTCCTAGCAGCGAACCGTTCTCCCCCCTCGATCTATCACGTCCCCCACCATTATGCTCCCCTCGACATAACCTCGCTTTCAAACGCGACGCGAGAGCTCGTCGCCCGGGGAATCGTGTCTGGTTTTTTGTGCTTTTCTTCTTTTTAAAAAACGTTTAAATCTGCGCGAACGTGTTCGCGGAATGCACGTGATTCTTCTTCTCGGTTTTCGTCGTCCCGTGAGAAAGCCAAGCGGCTTCCGCTCCGACGCGATTCGTCGCCGCGATTTCGTTGATTCGATGGACGTGTCGCGTCGCTTGCTTCGTCGTCGTCGTCGCTTCGGCCATGGCTGTTGATATCGTCTTTTGATTGGTCGAAGACATCGGAGATCCATTATGGCGACCCCATCCGGACCACTCGCGCTCTTTGCCTTCTTCTGCCCTTCGTCGCTTCGAATCTGAAACCAACGAACCGATCGATTTAACCCTTTTATTATTGCTTATTATTATTATTTTTTTTACGTCTGTATATTATTTTTGGTTAGGTTCTAAAAATTCGAGGTACGAGTCGTCTTCGATCCAATATATTCTTTTTTTTTTTAGGCAACAATTTGGGGATACGGTGGAACCTCGGTTAACCGAACTCTATTTTCTTCAATCTTTTAGATCTTTTTTATAGATTTAGATTTTCGATTATTCCAAACAATAATTAATGAAACCGTAGGAGGGCCACGATTGAACCTTGACTTGTCATCTTCTATTATATTGTATTAATAATTGGATGGCGGGCGCCGGGTCCATATAGACCCAGAGTTACATACATTGTATCTAAAATCTGGTGCGTTGAAACTTCCACTTTCCGACGTCTTTAGGACGTCTTAAAGATGTCTCGAAACAGACGTTTCAAAGACGTTTTAATTCAGACGTCTTTGAGACGTCTGTTTCGGGATGTTTTTAAAACATCTTATTTCGAACGTCTTTAAGACGTCTGTTTCAAGACGTTTTTAAGACATCTTTAAGGCGTCTTATTTCAGACGTCTTTAAGACGTCTGTTTCGGGACGTTTTTAACACGTCAATTAAGACGTCTGTTTCAGGACGTTTTTAAGACGTCTTTAAGACGTTTTAGTTCAGACGTTAAACTACCGTCCAATTCGGGACATCTTTAGGACGTCCGTTCCGAGACGTCTTTAAGACGTCATCAAGACGTTTCATATAAAACGTTGAAACGGTATCCGATTCGGGACGTCTTTATCGCGTCTTAAAGAGGTCCATTTTAGGCCGTAGGTAATTTTAGGCGAAAAATAGACGCGAAATGAACGTCTTCGAGACGTCGCGTGTTATCTCGGCAGGTTCCACGGCAAGTCATCTAACATCTCGAATCCGTATCAAAGGTAAACTGCACCCTGCGCGCATCTTCCGGACGACAGCCGTGTGATCACGCGTAAACGGGAGGCTCGAAAAGCGAGGACCATTCGAGTGTGCCCGGAATCGCTACCAGTGGCACAAGATCCGCAATCAAGGAAAAGGAGAACGGGCACAACTCGCGAGCCGATCGTACGAGCACGCGAGAGCCTACGCTCCTAGGGCCGGCGTAATCGGCGTAATCGGCCCTCGGAGCGCACCAATAATTTGACGTAATTTAATAAACGCGACCCTGGCTTCGCGTGCGTACGCCGGCCCGCGCCGGGTCGCGCGACTATCATTACCGACAGTTTGATCGTATCTTGGCCAGTGCGTAATGACGATGCACCTAGTCACTGCTGCGGCTGCCCCGCGCCGCCGCTCTCGATCATCGGTCATGCAAATTGCCGATGCAGAACGACGGCCGGCCTTCCCGATACCCCGATGCACGCATTCCGTTCGTGGGAAACAATGCGACCGCGCGGCACAGTGGGACAAACGTCAAGATGGAGGAAAATTCTGTTCATCATCGGTAACGTCGTTTTTGTTAACTCACGTTTTGTTGTCTCAAAATTATGCGACGGATTCCTGAGGTGATTTGAAGCAACTTTTTTCTTTGCAGAAATTCAATCCGCGGCTTCGTTTACGAGTTATTAACGAAAAACCGTGCACCAATGAGAGGCGAGCGCGCGGCGGCCGCGCCAACCAGCGCGCGGAGTCCAGTACCGCTGGTTGGCTCGGCCGTCTAGGTGGTAGGCGAGCGCGCCTCTCATTGGTCAGTGTTTTTCGTTAATAACTCGTTAACGGTGCCTCGGAGAACGTTTTTGTAAAGGAAAAAGTTGCTTCGAATGATCTCAGGAACTTCTTAGTCTCCGGCAGAAACTTCCATTTCCTGTCGAGTCTACTCGGAAGTATTTTAACTGCAAAAATTGAAAAAGATCATTTCTGTGTCAGAATTTAATATAATGTAGTATAAGGTTAGAGCTGAAAGGTAATGTAATAATGATATAGTGTTATAGTATTGTATAATATAACGTAACATAATACAACGTAATATAATATAATGTAAGGTTAGAGCTCAAAGTTAATATAATAATGGTGCAGTGTAACATAGTGTTATAGTATAATATATAATATTATGGCAGAATTTAACATAATGTAATGTAAAGTTAGAGCTCAAAGACAATATAATAATGACATAGTGTAACATAATGTCATAGTATATTATAATATAACATGACACAATTCAACATAATACAATGCAACGTAATGCGCCATAATATAACATAATAATACGCATAACAGAATGAACGATAAAAAGAGAATAAAAGAAAGTGTTCCTACAGTGTAGTATATAGTGTATGTATGTATGTATATATATGACAACGATACATAGCGAATAAAATGTCACGTCAACTCGAACACATTCGCCGTTAACAAACGGCCAAGATAAACATTGATCTAACCTCAGATTTACGATCGGCGAACGAAAAAAATAACCTCGGTATACCAGTTGTCGTAAAACAAGTATAAAACGATTTCATATTTCGTCGGGGCTATTCCGGTGGTTTTTGCACCACGTGGACGCGCTCGTTCATACTGATTTCGAGCGGCCGGGAAGAGGCTACGGGGATCGTAGTCCGGATCGTAGCGGAGGCCGGTCGAAAGCCTGGAACGTCTTCATCAGGAATGTTTTATCGTACGAGCAATTAAAATCCCTCGTTTATTGCCGGCCGGTACGCAATACCGACGCGCGGCCGCGTAATAGCGTGCTTCTAATAACGGCGAGCCCGATGCGTGCGCCGCGCGGACCGGCTGCGCGTCCTCCGGAGCCGCGGCGCACTGGAGAGAAAGAAACTGGACTTGCGCCCTTGCTTCTGGTGCATGCATAATTTTCAGTTTGATGCTGGCAGCCTCCCAACGCGCGGACCGTCCGGCTCTCGTAATGCCCACGGGTTGTCGGATCGGAGCCACCGCCGCAGCGCCGCCAGAAACGAAGGAAGAAGCCTCATAACCTGTTCTTTTTCTAATGCTCGATTTTTCGGAATCGGCGATTCCTGTGAAATTCAATTACCGCAGAATGGCACCTGGCTGTTCGGGAAGATCGATCGTCGGGAATTGCTTGTATCGATTTATGGCGATCACGTTTTCGCGAATTTCTGACGTTTGGAGGGTTAACCTGAAAAGAGGAATTCGACGTTTTCCTCTGCGCATGCGCGATTTGGTGAAGAATTAGAGACTCGTGGAAATGTTAAATAGAGAGTCTCGATTCTGTTTTCGGATTATTTGCGACGGTGAAAACTGTAAAATGGTGGTGAAAGGATACTGATTATTAGACCGCGGATATTTCGTGTACAGTGACCCACAAAAGTATTCGTGCACCTTTTAAAACGAAATAACTATTTTAAAGGTGAAGTAAATGACTTGAATTCTTTTTTTAGATGATAGAGGGCTCTACTAGACGATGACTGAAACGCTTTTATTCTAAATCTTGCTATTACTTGGAACGGCAAAGAAATAAAAATCTCTTTACAAAATTCTCTCTAAAAGAAAAAAAACACAAGGGTCTTTAATTTTTTCTTTTCATTCCAAGTAACAGCAAAATTAGAAAAAAAAAGCTTTTTAGCCATTGTCTAGTAAATCGTCCAGATCTCTGTCATCAAAACAAAAAAAATTCAGTCATTTAGTTCAGTTTCGAAAAACGCATCGCGTCTTAAAAGATGCACCAACACTCATGCGAGCCGCCGTACTTACGAAGAGAGAAATGAGCGGGCAGAATGGCAAAAAACGCTCGGAGAGCATAAGTATAGCGTCGAATTACTTTTAACTCCGGTAGGGTAATCTCGTTTTTTTTTTGCGCGCGTCCATTTGGTTTACTTTCGAGCGAGACCGTTTAATACATCTTATCCGATAAATATAAAGTTAATTATGCTCGAATGGAGGCCGAGGGCGATTGGTCCCGAGCAATTAAAAATTAACGCGAACGTCCCGAGCACAAGCTCCCGCGCGTCTTGCAATTAACGCGGGCAATTTCTGTGCCGCGGATAAAAAGCCGCGCGTCCTATCGATTACACGGAAACTGAAAAATGTCTCTGCGATATCGCAAATATTGTAACCGACGCAGTAAACGATCCCATAAGGAACAGTTTACGACGGAGCGAAGCGAAGGAAGGGGGGCGAGGAGGTGGAGGGGGAATAACAGTCCGGACAGTTCGGTCATTGGTGGGGGGCGGCGGAAACGTAGCCGGCGCGCGGTTCGCTGAATTCATTCGCTAACCGGGGAATTGCGGTGCGCGCGCGTTGCGTACACCTGGCGGGAGCGTAACTGGAATCGAAATCGCGATTCCGGGTCGTTTCGACTCTCATTTGCCTGCGTTATCCGCGGCGGCGGCGGCGGCGGCCCGCTGAAAGCCCGACAGCGGCCCGCGGGGGCCCGAGAGCGCATTAAAATCTGCGATACGGCCGTAATTAATGGAGTGCAATGTTCTAAGTGAAGGGCTGGCCAGAGCCAAAAGGAGGAAAACGGGGATAAAAAAGACAATTAACGGAGGAAACCTCCGGCTGGGCGGGAGCGGAGCGGAGTGCGGAGAAGAGCAGGCGTGGCGTCGCGAGGATGAAAAAAATGGGGCGGGGTGTACGGTATAGAGTGTTTTTCTTTTCGTCGAGGTGTTCGAGAGTGCCGGTGCCGCCTCGTTTCGGTGCACTCTTAGTGCCTATAAGTGCGCATGAAAACGGAAATATAAATTTTTCAATAGTTAAATAAACAATATAGGTTCCTTTTTATATCACTGTTATCGGTGGTTCGAAATAACATAAGATATAATAATAATGTCAAGGTTCTCTTTGTCATTGTAATTCCTCAAACTATGATTAAAAAATTCGTCAACTTTGAACGCGCACAACTTTTGAACCAATGGCCTCCGCACCTTGGGACTTGAATTTTTGGCGTTTTCTCGACAAAATCTACGAGAATGTGCATAAAAGAGCCAAAAATCTCTGGACCCCTAAAGTAAAATTTAACCCCTTCCGATCGTAGTTCGGAGCATAGAGATTCCT